GAAATACAATTTGTCTTTATTAATATTGATAAAATTAGTGCATCAGGGTTTCTACCGATCTATATGTTTAGACATTACTTACAAATATTTGTAATATTTTATTTTAATGGCATTTTAATGGCATTATTATGAGGTTCAGTGTAATCTCCTGACAGTACAAAGCAGGCAGAGCCCACAATACCTGTTTTTCAAAGATTTTCACTATTTATTTTAAAAGGTAAAATTGATTTAAGATTCTTTTTGTTTTTAAAGTTTTTCTTCAAAGAATGAAACCACCAGTCAATATTTAAAATCCATACACTATATTGTCCCCAAAAGGTCATCAAGTTTTATACTTTTTACCTTCAGAGTATTTCAGTATGTCCCAGTCTAAACCACAGATGGTGCAGAGTTCTCTCCTTGCAAGCCTTTCAGATTCTTAAATTAAACTCAATCAGATATGTGTCTTGCCTTTACCTCTTAAATGTGACACAAGAAAACAGGGAAGATACTCTGAGTTAGAACTGGTCTGATGTAGAATGAATACTTCCCTTTCACTGTTTTATTCTTTTCTCTCCTCTTTTCAGTGCTCAATCTTGGTCTTTTTATTCTATTTGTTCCATATACATTATCAGTTCAACAAATTTCATAAAACATTTTTCCAGCTAGTCTTTGTGGTCATTGGATATTAAGATGACATCTCCCCATCTACGAAAGCAGGAAGGGAAGGCATTCTCCTACTATTTCCTAATGCACAATGCATCCAGTTGATTTTAGACTGCTGCCCTAAAACTAACTACGGAGATAGGTTTACTTCTTCTAACTACTTGGTATTCTTCAAGGTACTTTCATGTTTGGCCTTAAAGATGCATATTCTGAAAAGCAGAGATATAGTTAAAATCACAAAAGCACATAACTTACAGGTTGTGATTAATAATTCATTACTTTTTAACATTTTCCAGTATGGAGTTACTAGACTAAAGGGCATAGATTAGGTGGAAAGATAAATGAACTGTATCATTTATCACAATCACAAGATAAATTTATTATTAAAACTTGGGGGAAGCTACACAGGAAATGTACTTTCCCATGCAGTAATTGGAAATTAAAAATATTGTTAAAATAAATGTGCAGTAATCATTAGTGTCACATCCTGCCATAAACATTTTGGATAAAAATAGTCTGTATTTTTGATTGATACAATAACTGAGGAATTACAATCAATAAGAACTAGAGTACAACATATTTATCCATAATCATTTTGAATGTATTAGGGTATACTTCAACAAAATTTGTATAATGCTGAGTAATTGTCAACATTACCATTTTAAATTAAGTTAAAAGTTACAGAATGTTCCTCTAACACCAATTCTCTTCCTAGTCTTTTTGTTTCCACCATAAACTTATAGAACAAGTGAAGAATTTTTTAAAAAGTGTTAGTCAATTTTTCTCCCCCTTACTATTGCGTAATTTACCATCAATTTCTGCACTAAAAAGAGAAGATGTAATATATAGGAAAGGAATTCAAGATAAAGAACTTCAAATTTCTACTATGTGTATGTTATGAACAAAATAGACCTCTTCTCAAATTGGAGGAAATGAGAGAAACTCGTCAATCTATAGAGAATTTACTTCTATTTGTCCACATGTAGGTTTGAACAACTTTTGCCCCAGACTGTCAGAATATTTCCTCTGTAATCTTGCCCTCAAAAATTAAAGAAATATATTTGGAGTATTGTGACTACAGAGTTGAGAGGACAATTGTACTAGTTCCTTGTTTTTCTATTGGTTAAAATTCTAGTTTATAACTATCTATCTAAATCATTAGGTTGATTTAAGTTAACTTGGCTGTCAGCTATCAACAAATTGTGCCAAAGTGCAATTCTTTATCTTTAATATCTCTTATTCTTCTTACTCTCTTTTTCTTTATCTTTATTCTCTTTCCCCCTCTCCTAATCTGTAAGATTTCTTTTCCATCTTAAAGCACAAAATGTCGTTAAAATAAATGACAAACTCAGTTAGTGGAGAATATAATATCAAGTAGGAATGTTAGAAATAATCATAAAACTCTTACCTACTAAACAAATATTTCACGCTGAGGATATCGGAATTACATGAATCTGAGTGTATAACTGCAGGAATTATTATATAATAA